TCAATATATGAATAAAATTTCTATTAACGAGTATCATTATCTAAAACTTGTTATTTCTCTAAAATACTTTCCTTTAAACGCTCCTTACCGTCTCTCTAAGCCTTTTGACTAATAGTTTATATGGTTGAAGATTAGAGTGTCTAAGTGATCATTGTTGTGAAGTTTTCAAAATTGTCTGATCAATTCTTGCAAAAGAGTAAGTTAATTTCTACTTTTTTCTATATTTTGTGCATCTTTTTATGCATGTGAGCATTTTTCTGACGCATTTGTCATAACGGTACCAACTATATATACTGATTGTGGTTACGTGGTTCGTATAAACAAATATAGTTCCTTAAGCTATTGGAAATGTTTTAAGACTTTTAAAGTTGTTTGATCTCTTAAAAAGGTAAGGTAAGCTAATTTTAGAGTTTTTGATATGTTTGTAATATGTGGTGATGCTTGAATTGGTCTGAAATTGGTAGCTTGGAATGAAAAAATCCTGTTGTGATTAATATGTAGTTAGTTTAATTTACTGCTGAAATATGATTATGTAGTATGTTGGTGTGCTAGTTGAAATTGGTTGAAATTGGAGTTGATTATGAGTTTGTGATGTTTTATTTATTTGTATTGTAGTTATAAGCATGACTATAATAATGGATAAAAATATTGTGTATGTTTGGAGTAATGTTAAGAATATGGTTGAGAGATTTTATAGTGGTATATCTAAGTGTGTGCCTTGAGGTAAAGACGATTCTACTTGTGTATTTATCTTGAACTCCACTAGACATTCATACTCATGTAGAGGAGAATAATTAGGTAGGTCGTGTCATAATGATGATGCCATGGCTCTTATGATTGTGATAAAGACTAACGTTGTAAGTGTCAGCTTAATAGAACAGTTTTTGGCACAACAAGTACATGACTTCATTAATATGACTCAGTGACATGTATCTCAATGGTCAAATCTAGTATGTGTGATTTATTCTTTTTAGTTGATGTAAATTTGTGTGTGTTTACTTTTATATAAATCGTAATATGATTGCTTAATGGTAAATTAATTTATCTTTTTATGTGTCTATTTGTTATGTTTGTTTTTCTTATTTACAATAATCACCTTAATAATGTGAGTACATTATTGATGTTTTTGTTAAACAGATGGTAAGTGGTAGTGGAGTTAAAATATAGAGCAAAATTATGTTCTTTTGTTTTTGAACTTGAAATATCTCATTACACTTTTAGTTTTTGTGGACATCCATATAACATTGGATTGAGTTTAGATCCAAGTATAATTCAAATTTTATACTTTAAAATATATACCTAATCATTTAATTTATCATATTAATCATGTATAATTTTTTAAAATTATAATTTAATGTAGTTAAATTATTTGAATTGAAAATTTACAGTAATTTTTGTTTTATTTTTTTATTTTAAATAAATATAAAAATTCCTTAACTCAAAAAATTCATAAGTGATTTTAATAATAATAATTATAATAAATTATGGTTTATATAATTTATCATTAATTTTAATAAAAAATCATGCTAAAAATAAAATTCAAAACATGAAATATATCTATAAAATTATAAATATTAAAAGATCGGACATATTTTTAACTTCTAGTATACTATCTAAACTCAATTATAATTAGTCATTTGACTTAAATTTTATTTATCTAACTTCATTTATTTACCCAATCTAATTGAATCATTTGTTAACATTTATCTTGAATTTTTTGGAATTTAATCAAATGTGAATTTTTTATTCAAATCTCCCAGATAGCTTAATAATAAATAAAATGTGTCCTACGATTAACAAACAAATAAAAAATGTACAAAATATAAGGCATAGAAAATAGGAGTTTAGGCAGCTCCCATACATTCAAACAATGACCAGAATGAAAGATTCTTCTAGCTACCGTTTTAGTAAACATTCTATTACATTGGACTTGTGTAGAACATTCTGTTCTGTATCTATCTGTAGGCGTTAAATTTTCATTCGATGATTCACCTGTTTATTTAAAATTATATTCTATTTTTCATTTTTTGTTTCAATTATTTGGCAGCGTGAATTAAATAGTAGGATTTGGAAAGCGTAAAAGTGGGTGGGGATGTAGTATGAGTCACATCAGATGCACATGGTATGTTTCCCCACGTTGGTTGCACAGACACCATTGTTAGCCTCTTCAAATTCGGATTATTATGTTTTCATGCATTTTTGTCTTGTCGTGTTCTGTCTTCATCTCCGACGTCACAACTTTTAAAGTTTCCATTTTTAATTACAGCAATTCAGTTTGTTGTTTTAAAAAAAAAGTAAGAATATGAAGTTTACCATCTGAAACAAAATTAAAACAGAGTAATTTTTTTAAAAATATGATGAGGGAATTTTGAAAAAATTAAAGACATGAAACATACTTTATGCTAAAATTGTGATTTATTTTTTCCGACAAGGAGAAAGATTGAAGTGGTGCAGAGTGCAGAGTGCAGAGTGCAGAGAGCAGAGGGATTGCATGAAGTGTCTTATCATTTGCAGCTTTCTCTTTAAGTCTTGTTTGACTTCTTCCCTACCTACACCCTACTCATGTGGAAGCAAGAGCCATGCTAGACACCATTTTTAGGTTAAGCTTATATCTTTTTGTTTTATTACACTAGTTACAACATATACACATTTAGGAAATTATCCTTAAGAAACTTTCTGCTTGATTTCTATGTGTGTCATTTGTTCAAGACTATTGATTTTTTGTGGATCTATTTATCTTTATATCTTAATATATGTATATTAAAAAGTGCACTAAATGTAATTTATGTTTGAGGTCTAGACTATTTAATTATATGTAAGAAAAGATTGTATGTAATATTGTGAAAAAGTTTTAGATTTTATCGGAGGATAGTACTGTGATTGAATTGAATTGAGATGTAAAAATAGATATTTTTTTAGTATAATTAATAAATGGTTGGACCTTTTGGTTATATAACAAGTTCAAATGTGATATTGTGTCAGATTTTATCTCACCTCCTTAATTTTTTTTTCTACAATTATTTTTTCTCTAATTTTTGTTTATAGTATTCAATTTACTTTTTTAATTAAATTTCATTTTTGTGTTAGATTAATTTAATTCAGTGTTTTTTATATTTATATAAACGGTTCTACATATTTATTACCTTGATAATATTTTTAATTTCTCTTTGTGTTATTGGTATATCATATACTTGTTTTAAAGCTACGTGTGAATGTTAGTGTGAAATATCAATGTATTGTATTCAATTCAAATTATATATTTAAAATTGAGTCAATTAAACAATTTTTTGAAAATAAAATAATATTTATTTTCAAAATAAAACTAAATTAGTAATTAAATCTAATTAAAACTTATATATACATATAATATTAATTTTTTAAAATTTATATATTAATAATTTCATCTAAATATTAAAATTAATTTTATTTCTTAATTAACATTTAAAGAAAGTCCTATTTTAAACTTATAATTGTTTTTTTTATTTAGGAAACCTTTTCTAAGGAAGGTTATATGCTAAAATGATGTTCATTTATTTCAAAGGAGATGTTTACTGTTTGCATAAGTTGGTTTCATATGAGAGTTTATGGCAATGTTGATTTATTTCGTAAATAACAATAGCAGAAACAAAAGAAAACCCCTATTTTCATATTTTACGCAGTAATTCAAGCTCATAAACATTTTCATATATCTTTATATATATAAATAAATTATTTATGTTATTTAAATTATTTGTAATACGATTGTGGGATTACCTCAATTTCTTTTTACAATAGCTATAAGTTCTTTCCTCTCTTCTATTGTAATGATAGATAACAATATAATGTATGAACTAATATTTGTAATCTTTCATTTGTTTCTACGACCAAGGGGACAACAATAATTTCATATAATAGTTAGTTTTGCTTCAGGAAAACAGATCAAATTTGACACGTTTTGTTAAAAGAAAAAGTAGGAATGTCAACATTGGTTGACACACATTCAAGACAAACTGTCTTTTAATTAGATAGTCTAGGCTTTAAATCTTAATAATATCACCAATATTTGTTTATAAATTATATTTGTTAAACTAGATTTAAATCAATTCAAACTATTCTTTTCATTACAACCACTGAAAAATACACTGTTTTAAAATCAATTAATATGAAATAATATTTAACAGGTAATTAATCCATGTAATACATGTTTAATACCGTAATGTACTCGTTTTAATCTTGTGTGAAGATAAATTATCAGAGACAACAAATTCTACAAGACCTATAACAGTAATAATACCCAAATGACACATATAAAGAAAGGAAATAAAAATTCTGTAATTATTATGTAATAGAAAGATGGAAAAGAAAAATAGAAGCTGATGATTTAAAAATAATGGGCATCATATATGATTACTCAGATAGACAAATGATTGCCGACCATGTGAAGGATGCCTTGTCTCTTTCTGATAAAAGAAAAAAAATAAAATATTTTTTCTAAACGTAACTGCAGATATGGTGTTAAAAAATGAACAGAGAATCATAGAAATGATGCCAGCAGCAGGAAATCTGAAGACAAAAATTTAAAGCCTATTATTCGTTGTTAACACCAGTATAGCAGGACAATGCATTGACATCAGTTGAATATGGTTCAGGAAGTTTCTTCTATTTAGCGAATATTCTTGCTTGCTTCGATGGAAAATGGTATGTTAGCATTACTCAAAACAAAGACACTACATGATGATGAGAAAGAGAAAACTGAAGGAGGGCAGCTATGTACAAGGCGCGCATGGGATATATGTATATCTAAGGATTGGGACCTTTATACTCATGGTTAGAAGATAATTTGACATGACATGTGAGTAATGCTGTAACAGTGGGGATAGGTGTCAATATTATAGGAATATTGTTTATGCAATGAAGTAGTTGGCATTTGTTGGAACAGTTATGATAACAAGCAATAATACTTTTTTAAGACTGATATCAAACAATGGTGGCGTGATGTATGTATTCTCAAACCAAAGGTATGGATTGCAACTCTATCACTTTTATATTTCCCCATTTTCTAAGGTCAGACATCTAAACTCGAAACTGTTCAACTGTCTCATTTGTTTAACAATCCGTATGAAAATGTTAAGCTGAAACTAGACCTACATAGCCGCCAAGCAAAGCCAAAATAGATGATATAAGATAAGCACCTAATACAATATTTGGTTCTCTGAATCCACGTAATTGGAGGCGGTAATGAAAGGGAGGAATCCTCAAAAGGCGCCAACCTGCTCCCCGGAAGCTCTTAGTTATCTTCAAGTACAATAACTGTTATATAAAAAAAAAACATAGATATTAAAATAAGAACTTTTACTTGTGAAATAACGAATGATACCAGCTAGCAATGTCTTAATCCAAAATAAAGTATTCAATTATAAAATTACGGTTAGCAATGGAATAAAGCAATCAGACGGTAAAAGATAGAAAAGAACGAAACAGGATACTACATAAGTAAAGCTAGCAGGTATCATGGCATTTTACGTATCAAATATCCCGTAACTGTTATGTAGAAAAGTAAGTGAAAATAATAGTTCCCTCCCATATGGTATGGAGAAAATGTAATAATTAATAGTTGAGCTCACTAGCTTGTAAACCATGCCCAAAAGGAAAAACATAAGCAATTTTTTAAACTATGATCTGTACAATCAAAAGATAATCCATAGTATTAAATGACATTTTATTAACAGAAAATAGTTGAGTTAAATCATATGCAATTCGACAGAAAAAACAATTTAAATGTGAACTTCTATACCTAAGATATAGAACAACCGAAAGAGTAAATTTAGAAATTTCTAATGGCCCTTCGCACCCAAAAGTTAATTAATATGTTTTCTTCCTTCTCACACGCCTTTTACCAATAACCCATGTAAATTGGAGACGTACGACAATAAATAAATTTGAACTCCATGTGGTAACATATCCACTTTACTGTGGATGCTGAAATACCCACTACCATCCATCTTAATTGTGGTAATCTCCTAGCATGGTAAGCGTCACATGTACCGGAAATGATGGGCATAATTCTTTGGAAAAGAACAACAGGAATGCTTTGAGCAAATTAATGAGCGTGTTTTATTCAGAAAAAGAAGAAGAAAAATTTAAACTAACCACTAATATAAGGAAGCATTTCAAGCATGAGACAGACCTGGATGATAACTGATAATGACTCAACAACGAAAATTCCGGAAGAAATGAGTAGCGGGAAGAACATTCCAGTACATGAAGCCATTGCAGCTAACCCAGCACCAAGAGCCAAAGATCCTGTGTGACCCATAAATATCGACGCTTTGTATCTGTTGTGTAGAAGAAATCCAACACATGATCCAGCCATTGAAGCCCCAAATATAGCAATATCTGGTTTGGCATGTTCACAAAAAGAAAAAGAAAAGATATATATCAAGCAAGTCTATTTTATAAGGAAATAATTCTACATAGTACTAAAATGACCATTTTTTGTATCATCGTACAAATAGCAAAGTTGCTACGCCAACATCATTAGGTCTTAAGAGAACTAACTGACTGAGACTTTCCTTTCTGACCAGTGTCGCAGGAACTTGTACGGGAAATAATGAGTATTAATAACAGAAGGAAGATCAAGATCTTTAATTGACAATTGAAGACACCTAAAGAGAACTGAGATTTGCCCTTCTGATCAGTGAAAGCCGGAACGGGTACCATGATGTTAAAAATAACAAAAATGAACAAGATATAGATCGTGATAGTTACTGTACTATGTAGAAAAAATTTAACTCGTGAATTGGCCATGAAGGACATTATTGTCAATAGAAAGATGAAGATGAAGTATGGAGTAACTGCGGCCGAAATAAGTCAAATAAGGATACGGCTCCTCAAAAGTTTTCAAAAGACTTGCAATCTTATGGTGAACAACTTTTTAACCAAATTTTACTTAAACATTTAATATAAAAATGTATTATTTTAGGGAATGAAATTCACACAGTTTACAAAAGAACTGTAGGGGATGCTGGTCTATGAATTAAGATTTAAAATGCATTATGTATCCTTGTTATAATTTTATTTTTTTATTAAAGTTATGTTGCAATTAATACTAGGACTGTGTAGAAACAATACTATAATTATTGGGATTTGCTTCCTATGAATGATTCAATTAGCCCTCTTCCTACAATAACCAGCAGACTCATGTACTTATAGGTCCAGTGGCCTCATTATTAATATATGAAAAAAACATTATTCCTTCTAAATTTGAGAGTTCATATATTTAAACATGACTCCGTAGTGGTTGATTCAAACATGCCAAAACAAAACAAGAGATTTACATATAGTTTTTGTTGATTTGGAAAAAGGTTTTAATCAAGTGCTAAGGAAAGTATTGCAAAAAACTATGGAAGAGAAAGGCGTTCGCAATGCTAACTTCCAGGTAAAAGACATGCATGATCGGGTACAAATATTAGAACAGTAGGCGGAAAGGCGAAGGATGACTTTACAAAATGGAATCAGGGATAGGATTGCAACCCTAAGCCTCGAGTCCTTACTAGTTTAATCTACACGCTTTGATATGCTTACCAAAGACACGAAAAATATGTTATAGTTTTAGTTGAAGAATCAAGGAAAGCAATTAAGCTTTGAAAACACTGATATTGGACTATAAAGAGACGAGAAAAATGTGGAAGTAGCAAATGAGAATGGAAAGATGAATATTTGACTACAAAAGAAAGGACAAGATATAAAATGATTATAGACATAGCTAATTAAGGAAAAAATAATAATAACGGTTATAGTAGTTTGAATGGACATATAGGTCACTGGAAAGAATTGTGAAAAGGAGAAAAGGAGACCAAGACAGACATCGGCGAAAGTTGTTAAAAAAGATCTCATGGTAAATAATATCCTTGAAGACCCGGTCACTGAACCAAGGGCATCATATGATCCTCATAACCTACTTCACCTACTGAAATAGGTCTTTGCTATTGTTGTTGCTGTAATGTATAAAGATATTTTCAAAGTCCACATTGATTAACAAACACGCTACTAACCAGAACATACTGGAAGAACAGCTATTGACATTCCGGTAAACGCCAGTGCAGCAGTACCTCCAGCTAATCCGTCAATAGCATCTGCTAATTTAACACCATGTCCCATGGAAACAAAACTAAATGATGTCAAGAGTTGGTAACATCTTCCCAAGTACACGAGGCCCAATGGCAGAGGAACCAGCATCTTCCTGCATGTAAGTGAAGGAAATGAGAAGGAGGAAGACTGTAATTTGTTACCAGCCAATAAATCAGATAAACAAACAAACTTAAAGTCTCACTGATGAGCATCGTCATTGGCAATTTGCAGTTTATACAACGTACACATTATCACGAGACTTCAAATTTTTAGTTTTCCAAGAGTGTTTTTAAGACCCTTTTGTAGTTAATGTCAAGCAAGGATGAACCTGTGTGTATAAATGGGCATGCATCCAAAAAAGATCTTGTACACAGTTCCTTAGATCTGCCCCGCCATAAAATCGATTTTTCTCATCCCTCTCCCTCTTTTAAAATTTTAAAGAAGGCTACCTCTACAAATTTTTTAGTTCCAGCTCTAATGAGAAGTAGCATTTTCCAAACAACCAATGACTTGCCCGTAGTCCAACAATAAACAGAAAACAAAAAAATCACGAAGCTTCGACATGATAAAAGACGTTCCATTCTCTCTTTTGGGTATCTCTGCTAAGCAAATTATCTTAATCAGTATCATGAAAAAAGTTCAAAATACAAATACATTATAAATAAGTATATTAGTACCAAACAAAATAAACAAATTCATTTGATTTAACTAATAAAAATTAGTTGGTGAATGTAAAATAATAAACAAACAACATAACTAAAGTATTATTATATAAATAACATTTGTATGTAATTACAATTTTACATATTTTTAAAAAATACTTAAATTCTAATAATACTTTTTAGTGCCTTATTTATTTTTTAAAGATTGTATATTTTTTATTAGAACAATTCATTTTATTTAATCCAATTGATCTAATGAGTACAAGTCAATTTTTATTTATTTATTTTCAGATATTTAAATTATTTTTTTCTCAAATTAAACTTCGGTTACATTATGTTTCCTTTTTGTGTAATTTTACAGTAAGATTGTCACATTTGATTTCAACTTAAACATTTCAGATAATATTAAATTTTGCTTATGTAATTTTACAATAACCAAAATAATTCACATGTTTAATTAGTTTTTAACACAAGCACAAACGGGGCAAGAAATCATGTTTTCAACTGTTTGTGAAATGCATTTTATGAGAACAGATATGTGAGTTACCATCAGAAAAATGCTGATCAGAATAGTTACAAGAAAGTATACATGCCATAGGGTGAAGATATACTGGTGATGTCCAACCAAAATGAAAACCACGTTCCAACGGCTACCTGTGTGGCATAGAAATGCAGATTTAATAAGAAATAGCATAGTTGTAATATGTTTGAACAAAAACCCTGTTTTAGTTCTAATCTTTCATTTTCAATTTAGTCCCTAACATCATTTTTTCAAAATCTGGTATCTAGTCATAATGCAGATTTTGATTGCAAAAGAACAAAACTGAGGCATATATATACTACTGAGGAATTTGATTGCTGAAATTGATCTGTGAGCACTAAATGATGAGAAAAATATCATTCAACGACCAATTGGGTTTTGTTTCGTGGGGGAGGGGGGGCTCCAAAGAAATGTTTCTAATATAAATATAAACAAGTCAGTCACCTGCAAAAGAACTTCTGTCAATACAGGCAAACCTCTCCGATGATTGGTGAGGCTTAATATATCACTAAGTAAACCGACTGCAGCAAATGCAATAGTTGCGCCAGCTGCCCCAGAAACTTCTGTTGACGAGGAACTAGCAAAGACATGAGCTACAATTATACCAATAGGTACAAAAAGCAAACCACCCAGTGTTGGTGTAAGCTTTTTCGTTCGATGGCGAGCAGGCCCTTGTTGCTTGATTATATGGATAAATTTAAAAAGACGAAATATTGGGATGCCCACATAGCCAGCAAAAGAAACCAAAAAGGCTGATATGAGAAATGGACGGGTTAAGTAAAAAGGTGATAAGGGAAGCCTAACAATTCTCCACGCACACCAATCCACATACAACAGCAGTAATGTCAAGACAATTATAAGCCCCATAGTGATGAAAATTCCTAGTTTGGTCCTGCAAACACATTAAAACCTGAACTGGGTTACCATAGCACCACACAAATGAAAGGATAATTGTAAAGATTTAAGCAATAGATAACAGGAAAGGCTATCAAGCATTAAGTTGCTAACTATACTTAAATGCATTTCTTATGATAATGAGTCTAAAAAACACAAAGAGACATCACTATGCTATTGAACAATATCTTTCACCTTCAAACCATTCGTCTTCAACCTACACAACATGCTTGTGACTGTGTATACCGAAAAAGCTTGAGTTTTCTCTGCCTGCCTTAATCTATTTTTTAAAAATTGAAAATTTTGTTGACTGTGGTGTTCCCTTTCATGTCCCTCCAAATGGAAGTGTTGGTTAGGTGTTGGAGCCATATCCAAGCTGTGTCCTCAACATGTCAAAACCCAAAAAGAAAAAAAAATCCTGACACTATTATTATATCGTCTGACATGTCTAGTCTGAATGTCAATGACTCAATATCCAACATGAGTTGGACATCTGGACACCGCTTCAACATGCAGTGTCAGTGCTACAATTCATGCCTAATTTCTAGAAACCATGTCATGCTATAGAAATATATTTTCAATATATGAAATATTAAGATTGACAAGTAAGGGTATCCAAATAAACCAATTAAATAAGTTTCTACATACCTAGGCTTCTTCTGTCCCCTCCCAAGGGTTGCAAACCTATGAGCAGCCACTGTTACAGCATCATCATTTGAAGCAGAAACAGAAGGCAAATCAATGTCATTCACCGGAGTGAGAAAAACTTCGCCATCATAGTCTTCCCCGTCACTGGAGGAGAACACATACGCAGAACTTTCATCAGCAGCATTCCAATCATCAAACATTGGTATGTCAAACGAATCCTGCAAAAGATAATAAATGTCATGAAACTGAATCAGCCTAGTAATCACAATAATTGGCAAAAAAATTGACCTGCTAAAACCTCTAAGGGGGCTCGCTAGTTAAATTCCAGATATAAACCCTTCTAACTGTATGCATATAAGAAAATACACACATTATATCACATCAGTTTCACAGCAATCACTAGTGAAAGAATCAAGAGCACTTGTTTGTCGAAAGACAAAATTCAGGTGCAATTCTTTAGGTGCTTTTAGTCTTTTGGTACTATCAGAATTAGAATTTAACCTTCAAGATTAGCTTGATAATGACGTTCGTTAAGCACCTAAGCATCAAAAGCACCATATTCTCAACATCGACAAATTTAGCAATTATTATCCGTGCAAATGTTTCATTAGATTATCAAGCTATTGTCTCTCACTCAAAATTACAGCTAAGAGACAATAGTTTCAAACTGTCAGAAAATCAAGCACCTCGGCTGAGTATATTATTAAGAATTGTAAGAGTAGCGGAATGGTAAAAATATAGAAAAAGAAAACAAAATTGATGATCGGAAGTAATAATCTCTCAAACTCAAAATTAGAGAGTAAGAAACTACGGTTTCAGACTTTCAGAAGAACAAGAACCTTGACTGATAATAAAATTACGAATGGTAAGAGTAAAGCAACGGTAAAACAACAGAAAAATAAAACAAAACTGAAAATGAACGAAGTGATCATCTCATCTCTCAAACTAAAGATGACAGACCACGGTATCAGACTTTCTGAACGGCACGCACCTCAGCTTAGCATATTATCAGGTCTGAGAATACTATTAAGTGTTGTAAGAGTAAAACCACAGTAAAACTACAGGAATAAAATAGAATTGATTTTTGGAGAAGCGAAAACGAACATCGTCGAAGGCTCTCGTGGGAACGACATTACGCAGAGCGCCGCATTCATACTGCTGAATGATCAAGGGATGTAACTGCATAGTAGGAATTGAACGATGAAGAAATTAATTAAATCAAACTATTCAGACAATCGAATTTCGAAAACGCTGAAATAGAGAGAAAAGTACCTGGAGAGTGGCGCAACCGAAAAGGGAGCGGGAAGAACATGCAAGGGAAGTGGTTGGAGGAAGAGATTGGTGTTTGTTGCGAGAGAGATGGAGAGGGAGAGAGAGATGTAGGTGGTTGAAAATTCGAGAGTGAGAAGGCATGGATGCGATGCGAGAGAGAGCACGTTGAAGAGGAAGCAGATCTGAAGGAAATGTTCATCGAAATGTTAGCGATGGACGCAAGCATATTCCATGTTAGGGATGGGAAAGAAGCCTTTTATATAAGCAGGGAGGGAAAGTGTCAAATGGCGGTACTTTGAAATCATCGCGTCGCCGAAACCGTTTGATAGGGTCACTTCTGTTTTGTTTACTGTACATGAAAACGAAGTAAGCGTTTGAGAGAGAATATAGAAACAGGGAGAGATAGTCTTATAAAAAAATGTTATATTAAAGAGAAAAATTATTATTATTATTATTATTATTATTATATTATTATTATTATTATTTAATACTATTGTTAATATGACAAGTTCACATTGTTACAACAGTATGGTAAGATATTATGCTTAATCTTATTAATATTTTTTAGAATCTAATAATGTTAAGGAGATTTCAAGAAAAAAAAAATCTCTTTTATTTTAATTCAATCACTCTTCCTTCTAGTAATGTTTAAACTTATTAAACGGAAAGATGTGCCTTTCGATTTATGTCATTTATGTTACATTAAAACAATATAAATTTAAAAATATTTAATAGTTACTTTTAAGTAAATGAATTAAATAGTTATTTTTTAAATTATACGATTATGCATTTTATTAAATAAAAGATTATCTAATTAAAAAATAACACAAATATAATTATAAAAATTATGATGTAGATGATAGATAATAAAATGATATTAAAAAGGAGGGAGCAAGTCTTAACGTGGACTCTGTGGATGGTGGGAGTGGTTAATGCGCAGGAAGAAAGGGAAAGGGAAATAGAGTTAATTGATTAATCAATTAAGATATATTTGTGTAAGATTTTGTTAGGGAGGTGCTGTTTTGACACCCACCGAATAAAAAATACTTTCACTTCACAACTCAATATAATACTATTTTAAACATATTTATTCTATTTTTTAATCTAAAATTGTAAACACATTATTATATTGTTATTATGGGTTATAAAGTGAAAGTTAGAAAAATATGGAGTGTCGCAAAATATTTTTCATTTTGTTATTTAGTGTGAGTTTTTATTTCACATGTATGTCATTGTTTCATTTTTAAATATTTTTCACATTTTTTTTCAAAACAAAATTAGTACAGAAGGAACAACGGAGGTAAGGAAATTAGAATTTTTTTTAGTGTTAAGTTAGATAGTAAAATGAAAAAAAAAATATTATAACTTTGAAAAGAGGTCACACCAATAATTTAGAATTTGTAATATCCCACATATATAGCTTAAAACTATATAATGGAGTTAACATATAACAATATTATAGGACAGTTAGAAAATAAACAAAATGAGTTATAGATGCTCTAAAAGATTGAAATATTTAATACCTTACATTAAAACAGGTTCTAAGACAAAGTCTGAAATTAAACCGAACGATTCCAAAATTTCAAGCTTTAAACCGAATGGTTATACTCGATAATACTATCTTTTCTGATCGAAAGGTTCCAAAATTTCAAGCTTAAACTGAATGGTTATACTGGATAATACTATCTTTTCTGACCGAACGGTTCATACAAAAGATCCTAATCCTACTGACCGAGCAGTCCTAAATTAAACTACCAGGTCCTTGTCTTTCAATGCTTCTTCCAGCGAACACTCTTCAGCCTCTACTCACATCCACAGGGTGATCATTGCAAGATAGAAGACGACCGAATGGGAAACATAAGATAAGACAGAAAATGTAGGGTAAACTAGTGTAATTTAATTAATCATAACATTATAGACAATCATATTAAATCAAGCATTTAAACAATCATCATCCAGTATTTCAGGCAAAAACCGAATATATCATGCAAAGACTGACCACTTGACTTGACCATCCGGATTGTATGAATGTGTAGCTTGAGGTCATTCTTGCACCCGAGTTGGTATAGTAACTGGAAAACCATCAGCTGCCACCCAAGGTTAGTCGGTTATACCTCACCCATATCCCCTCTGGACTAGGACCTCCTGCCATTCTCACCACATGACTTACCCATCTGTACTTGAGAACTGGTAATCATTAGAATTTTAGGATGAACGTCGTGAATTTCACTATCGATATTCATACTTTACCAATTCAATAACCATTCACCGAGACATTCCTCCTTGGAATTCTCTTCTATACCAACTTCAAATAATACCAACATACTTCCTCATCCATAATATATTTAAGTAAAATTAAACAGAACAGTAAAAATCACCAACATTGAGTACAACTGAACGTAAAATCTTAAAAACATACTATGAACAAGACCGAACGGGATAATGTTCCCTATAGGTGAACACGACCGGACGGTCATTTAGAAAAATGTGATATTCAACCATGAGTCGAACGTCTTTGAAGCTGAACACCATTACAACAGGATTCTAAGGCTAAAATAGAACATTAAAGACTTAGGCCGAATACTATTGGCTTAGTCCGAACTCTATTGATATAAGATATAAGAACAAGACTGAGTACTAAGGATAGACCTAGAGCTGGTAACGGACCGAACATTACCAAGACAATATATAATCGAGCGGTCAATAACAGTTAAAGCCTATGATAGACCGAACGTTGTTTACAATCAAATGTTATGTCTAGATCGACTGTTACATTCACTTGAATATCAACATAAGAGCAATCGGTAGTTAACTAAGGATCCACAAAAGTTGAACTTAGTTAAGTCCAAACACTCTGACCTTGTACAAAATGTATAAGTAGACCCGATCATTGAGTTACTGAACCCAAATTATAAACTAAGTACAATTATAATACTGAGAGCTTAACTAAAATGAATACTTTTATCTAGGCTAACTTATGAGTGGAAAAATAGAAAAGTATACTTAGACCGAGCACTATATTCCCTTATACCAAATATATAATCGATTAGTCATTAACTAAAACTCTACCAAAGAAGAATTCAGTTAAGACCGAACATACTGGGAAGAAACCGAGCGTCACGAATGACTCTCGATGACAAGTGAAATACTGTAGATTTATGATCAAACCCTATTCCTGCCCAGTTCATGCTATTCATCAATCATCAACCCATACAGACAAACATACAGTAACACCAATATTTCATATTCATCAAATAATCAAACAAAGTATCATTCCACATACAACCATTCAGAACAGAGAATCATAATTAAATTATACAAGCTTTCCTTACCTTTTTAACTGACCAACTATTTGATCAACAGCAGAAATACGTCCACCAAACACCAACTTTTCTAAAATGCCTAAAACCCACCAAATAATAAGGACAGATCAATTAAAAGACCAAAATATGATCAGGATTTATGAAGATGAAGCTGATGAACACATGCAACCGGAACTTTTGGCTTGCATGTGCCCGAAACCAATTTTCTTAGAAAGATAAGGAACTTGCCAGCTCAGGATCACAAATCAATCGGTGCAAAGTGAAGTCCTTGACACCAGGAATACTCAAGCGTTGCCTGATTGATGATCGAAAGAAGAAAGGATAAGAGTTTTGTAGAGAAAAGAGAAGAAATTTAGAGAGAAGCTAGATAGAAGGAGGATAAAATGAGTTCTTCAGAAAATTGGAGAAGAAATGGTACATGCAGAAAGTGGAACGTGATTTGAAATTTTTCTTTAAATACCACCGTCAAAACCGAACGGTCCACTCTGCTGCTCACATCTATCTTCCACTTTCTGAAATTTCAAATTCCCTGCACTCACACCTCGCTGGGTTCTGACAGAATTTCATTTCAATTTTACGTATTCTTCTTACTATTTTTTTTGCTTGTTTTCTTACATTTTTCTCCTTTTTTTTTTCTACCGAGCAAAAGTTAAATCAAACATACCTTGTGATTTTACCGGTGGCCACAAAACGTGCTTGGGATGAAAACCTTAAAAGAGTAGTAAGTCAAAGTATACGGTCTCTGTCTTTCGCTGGAGTTAGGCTTTTCAATGTGATTTAAGTTGGAATGAGATTCGGCCTTGAACGTCTTTGATCGATATAGCTGCCTAACACATGTTCCGTCACAGAAAATATCTTTCCAATTTTCTTATAAATTATTGGTTCATCCGTGTGGGTTTGCTTTCAATCCGTTAGTTGCTCATACTGTTTGGTGCTAAAAGCTATGAAGTAGAGTCGAAGTACATACGGTTAAAAATATTTTTATAGAATTAATTTTAATTGTTATAATAATTTTATACATACTTAAAGTCTGTATGTAAACTCTTGATAGTCATAATAATTTTATCAACTATGTAACCGGGTTAACTATAGTTTTCCATCGTAATTCTAGACTTTTGGAAACCTCAAGAGCCACCGTCCATGCTCTATTTTTTATTAAGTTTAACAAATTTGACTTCCACAGGTTTATGTTAGTTTTGGAAACCTCAAGACACAACTTATTCAGCTGCGTTTTTTTTATCCGAGTCGCATTTTAAACGAAAAGAAAAAGGAAAGAAAAATTACTAGCTAAACATACAAAAGTAGATGATAGCCCTTTATTCGGCACAAAAAACAGAGTTGTGATGGCAAATAAATTGATCAATAAAAATTTGGAAGTTAAAATAAGAACTTATACTTTTAACATAATCTTCGAAATTCTTTAGTGTGTTTCTAAGAGTAGAAAATAATTTTTAAAACTAGAATTCAAATAGAGGCGTAATCACGAGCTTTTGTTTTCTGTTGAAGAGTTTGGAAGGCGGTAAAAAGACTTAAATCCGGTTCTGGTTTGATTTGGAGTGGGTGAAAAAGGGAAGAAAAGGAGGGAAAAAGTACCAAAAAGTGAAGTTAATTGAATGTAGAAAAAATTAGTGAAAATAAATGAAAAACTTGTATGTGTATGTATTTGTCAGTATAATGAATTGAAGAATGTATACTTAACAAACTTAGAAATTATAATTTTTTTTGTAAAAATAATCATCATTCATATATAAAGCCAATGTAATATGGGGAATGAGTAATTTGAAATCGTAAAAATGCAAATTTAGATGCAGGAACATAAAGTGGTGTAACTGTATAACTGATGAGGATTTTGTTATGCTAAAGAAACACCACCAATAATCAATTATATACGTTAATATAATGTCCCTCGAAGGGGTGAGAAGTAAAAAAAGCTCAAACTCTCCTCAATTTCTTTTCTTTTCTTCACCTTGAACAAGTCTTCCCTTGTTCTATTCTTCTCACCCCTGCCACTCAAGCATCTACTTCCAAATGGAAATAATGCAATA